CCACGGTCCCCCCCAGTCTAGGCATCGGTAGGGTGCCCTAGAGCTCGAAAGGGCGGCGGCGATAGCGACGGTCACCTAAGGTCGGGAAGTGTAGAGTTGGTCGTTAAGGTAAGTAGTCACCTTCACTAACATTCGACACTGTAAAAGGGTCGGCGGCGACAGGGTGGCCTACAGGCGCCGGATCGAGGCGGCGACGACACTGGTATTATCCTTGGGGTCTAGGGGTGTCGACAGGATGGTCTGGCGGGGTCGGCAGCGAGGTCGAGGTAGTGGTAGGGGGTCGACAGCGACGGCGAGGTGTTTTTGGTAGGCGGGAGGGCAACGAGGTCGAAAAACGACCAAGTCCCAGCCGTGCCGACCAGTTTCGTTGGTCAGGTTGGTGCGAGGTTGGAGGCTTTTAGGCGTTTTACATACAAAAGTGGCCGGCAGCGGACCCCCATCTCGCGCGCGAACCGCTGCAACACGCCGATTTGCCCCAAACCAGTTCGGAGGGTATATAAGAAGGAAAGGCAAAAGCCTCTCAATTGATTAAGATTGATTCATTCAAACTAAATCAATTGAAAGGTTCTTGTAAAGTCGGTGATAGACACCCGCGACTCCATCAATCCCGATTCAGTTCGAATTGATGTTGTCGGCGGTCGTCGTCGTCGCCGCCGCCCCCCTTTGCCATCAAAGTCGGCGTCTTGCCGCACCCCCGAAGATTGTCTGGCGACGCCTTTACTGGCTAGTTTTCTCATGGCTCGGATGGGGTGCTGTAAGGCGGCGGCGTTGGTGGTATTTGGTGAGGCGGTGGTACGGCGGCGATCAACGGGTGCCTCTCTCGACCCCCTGCCCTTTGATATCTAGTCCCAAATTCGCAAGGACCATTTACAGGGCCTCGAGGAGCCGGATACGCCTATAGCGCTGTCGCTTCGAGGTCGGTTGTGGGCCGCTGCTGCGGTTTGTCGGAAAGTTGGCGGTATTTTCTATTCAATTAGCTCTGCCACGGCGATTCGGTAGGCCGCAGTGCCTGAAGACCGGGTGCTCTACCGAGCATCTGGCACTGAGGGAGTCTGTGGGTTGTTGGCCGATGGCTATCATTACCTAAGACGCAATCGGGGGCATGCCCGCGCACCGGTAACCGTCCTTACGGACGTGACTGGCGGCGGGTAACCTCCTCTTGAGGTAGGCATGCCTTGGTCGGGCGGCATCTTTACGGATGCCCGCCCGTTCCACGGCGGACCTTACCTTGGGGAATCCAGTTATGGCAATCGGATGGCCTGACGGCAAACCAAAGGCTAACGCCTGCGGCGAGTCAAAGGCCGGGCGTTCTTTCGAGGCGCCCCTACCAATTAACTACTCCGACCCCAATTTATTGGGGTTAGACCCGATCGCTCCGGCGAGAGGGTCGCCGAAGATAGTTACCTGGTTGATTCTGCCAGTAGTCATATGCTTGTCTCAAAGATTAAGCCATGCATGTCTAAGTATAAGCAACTATACGGTGAAACTGCGAATGGCTCATTAAATCAGTTATCGTTTATTTGATAGTACCTTACTACTTGGATAACCGTGGTAATTCTAGAGCTAATACATGCTAAAAACCCCGACTTCGGAAGGGGTGTATTTATTAGATAAAAAACCAATGCCCTTCGGGGCTCCTTGGTGAATCATAATAACTTAACGAATCGCATGGCCTTGCGCCGGCGATGGTTCATTCAAATTTCTGCCCTATCAACTTTCGATGGTAGGATAGTGGCCTACCATGGTGTCAACGGGTAACGGGGAATTAGGGTTCGATTCCGGAGAGGGAGCCTGAGAAACGGCTACCACATCCAAGGAAGGCAGCAGGCGCGCAAATTACCCAATCCCGACACGGGGAGGTAGTGACAATAAATACTGATACAGGGCTCTTTTGGGTCTTGTAATTGGAATGAGTACAATCTAAATCCCTTAACGAGGATCCATTGGAGGGCAAGTCTGGTGCCAGCAGCCGCGGTAATTCCAGCTCCAATAGCGTATATTAAAGTTGTTGCAGTTAAAAAGCTCGTAGTTGAACCTTGGCCTGGCTGGCCGGTCCGCCTCACCGCGTGTACTGGTCCGGCCGGGCCTTTCCTTCTGGGGAACCTCATGCCCTTAACTGGGGCGTGTTTGGGAACCAGGACTTTTAAGCTTTGAAAAAATTAGAGTGTTCAAAGCAGGCCTTGCTCGAATACATTAGCATGGAATAATAGAATAGGGACGTGTGGTTCTATTTTGTTGGTTTCTAGGACCGCCGTAATGATTATAGGGATTTAGTCGGGGCATCAGTATTCAATCCGTCAGAGGTGAAAATTCTTTGGATTGATTGAAGACTAACTACTGCGAAAGCATTTGCCAAGGATGTTTTCATTAATCAGTGAACGAAAGTTAGGGGATCGAAGACGATCAGATACCGTCGTAGTCTTAACCATAAACTATGCCGACTAGGGATCGGACGGTGTTAGTATTTTGACCCGTTCGGCACCTTACGAGAAATCAAAGT